TTGAAACGGTGCTCGTCCTCGTTGGCTGTGTTGCTCTGGGGTCCAAAAGGACAAATACTACCTGACATGCTCCCGCCCCACCCAGTCGCCATTTCGACCAACCAGAACAGCGGTTCCCTTTTGGGAAGCGCACTTTTACCGCGCCAAGTCTGGTGTTGTGAGGTAAAATCCCCATTTCTGCAGTGACTGCGTGTATTCGTTCAGTGCAACTGGGCCGCTTGACCTGGCCAACTTGCAGAACAAGCGCGGTCACGAGAGTGGTGTGGAGAGACAATGTACTTTTGCTCCCCCAAGTACATCGCTTCTTCGGCTTCACAAGTCGACACCTCAAAGCCAAGCTTGAATAGGGGAGGGGGGGTGCACAATTCCATCGTGCCTTGTCCTGGATGCTCGGGTTTGCTTGACAAATTCCCGTACCTCTTGACGCAATATGGGGATGCCTCTAGAAGATCGATCCCGCCGTGGGCCTTCCGCTGCCGTCCGTTAACCGTCCGTCTTGTGATCTTCAAAATCTCCTCAAGAGGAGCCAGGCCGAAAACCCTCCTGTTCTAACTGCCAAGTGTAATAGCAATGTTGTTAGTGCAACTTCCAGCTTCACCCCACTAACGGAGCCAGGATGGACTACACGGTGCTCTTCTCGAAAAGGGCGCCAGGTGTTGCGACTGGGTTAATTTCCCCAAACTTCTCCAGACCTGCCCAGCTCTGCCCAGAACCGAGAACGATTTCAGTCGCATATTTTTCCAATTAACTCTTTGCTGATTCGAGTTTGGTAGCTTGCGGGTTCAGTACGGACAACTTGTCGCCAGAGCAGCCACAGTTCTAAACATGGAAAGACCAGACACATGTAAATGGCCCGCCTGCCACAGGACAGAATGTCCGTCTACGGCGGTGCAGCTAGGCGTTGGTCGACTCGCAAACTTTTTGCTGGTGTGCTGCCATTTTGGCCTCGTTCATTTAGCTTGAGTTCGATGTGTCTTGGGATCATGAAGATGAAGAATAATTGTTGACAAGTGGAGGGCAGACTGGGGCACTCGCGGTTTCTCCTCCTTCCCAGTTGGTACCATTGCGAAGCTCAGTGGTTGGCTCGAGCCGTGAACTCCATCGTCAGGACGGACCCGACCCGGCAGCGGTGACATCGGTCCGGTAGTGGAGCCCCGAACCACCGCCAGGAGATGGGAAACTCACTGATTTACGAATGCGCTTGTCGGCATGGATTGAGATGTTGAGGATGTCTCTCTGCGCATGTTCTGTGATGTTTCGGACAGATGGAAATGAAGAAGAGTTCGAGAAAATGACCTTTCATGACGTTTGCGGTTAGAGCATGTTCGGCTCTCAGGTACAGGCATCCTAGAGTCTGATCTTGTCTTGTGGGCTCATTTCTGTTCACTCGGCTTGTGTTCTTCCCCTGGCCCGGGGCCTGGACAGTGGAAGCGATCGACGGTGATGGGTTCCCGGTCCAAAAGGTTGAATTGCCAGTGGAAAGTCACCTTGCGGTTCCCTGGAGCGAGCCCTACTGCCCTAGGGAGGTGCCTGAGAGATGCCCTGAAAGGATGCTCCTTCCACCTCATCCCAGCGATCCCCATACTGCTAGTGATTTAGCGGGGGACAAGACGGGTGAAGGAACCGCAACTGCCGTTGACTTCGGTATCTTGCAGGGCGGTTAGGTGAGCGCTAACACCGTCAGGTCAGAACGGTGGGTCTGCGGAAGGCCAACCTCTTTCGCCTGTGGGCAGAACTCCCCTGCTGCTCCTATTTCCGACGAGATTAGGTTCTCATCTTTGCTTTTTTCCCCCCCATCACTCCATCCTGTTTTCATTGGTGTTGACCGCCATCATCCCAGTCCCGGGTGCGCGTCCCTCCAGCCCTTGACATTCGGGGATCGGGTTTGTTCGTCCCGGCTGGAGCTAACCAGGGGAAATCGTCAGCTGCCCTGGTGGAAGTCGCAATGACGGTTGAAATAACCGAATCCGATGAGCTCCTTCCTTGATATGGATGGAGATGATGTTTCCATCACATGGTTCCATGAGCACGCACTGCAATGGGATATGAAGGAAATCAGTCCTTAATCTCCAGCTGCGCTTGCCTTCTGCCACTGCAGCTGTCGGGCACCTGCAAAACCGCATCGATGGCATTTGAAAGGCCTTGTCTTGTTCATCCTTGCAATGACCCAATGATATGGAGTCGGTTCCTAGGGCGTGTGACGGAAGGTTACAGCACACACCTTATTCACGGCATCATTCTCTTGTCAAGTTCTCCAGGCTGCTGATAACAGTATTTGTCATTCATCCTGGTATACTAGAAAATGAGCTTACAAGGCGGTCTCCTCGACTCTTCCAGGGGCACTTCTCAGTAGGGGAGCTGTAGCCAGGGTTTCCACCTTAACACGCCATTCTGAATCAGTGAGTGTGTAGGGGAGGATACTGGTGGTGGCTGGTCTCGCCGAGGTACTGAGACACTGTTGACGATTGAAAACCTCAGTAACCAACATCTCGGCTTGGCTAGACTTCTTTAGGGTCATCTCTGGTCGACCTGAATCTCCATTGTCCGTCTTCGTCCCTGTACATGGCAATCCGAATATTCCCAACTCTGTCCGTCAAGCCACCAGGCACATCCATGCCATCCCCGACGTGAGCATGGATGTTGTCGTCGACTCGGACGAACAACATGGGCAACGCGTCTCCTTTCCAGGCAGACACACCATGACGAGCACTGATAACGGCGGTGCGAAAGAAGTAGTAGAAACTGATGAGTAACATGCAGCCGGGATAGAACATCCACCACCACTGGACTCTGATGAAAGGGGCAAGCTGAGTGGCAGAGCCAGCATAAACCTTGGTACCACCTAGTCCGTTGGAGAGTCTCCCATTGATGCGAAACTCGGCCGTCATGGCTTCCGTGAAGCTCCCCATCCAGGCTTCCAGGTTATTGGTTGCGTTCCACATGGCTTCGACCCAGTCTGAGGAGTAATCTAACATGTTTGTGTCGGCGCGGACCACTCCAGTCGTTATGCCAGCCATGAACGTTCGTAAAGCGATTATGGCCTCTTTGGATACCGAGTAGGTCGTTGTGTTGTCGGCATTCATATTCTCGGGCAGGCCGATGAAGGAGTATCCAGAGCCGTGGAGATTGCCGCCACGTGCAAGTTCCGTCGTGGACCAATTTCCGACCTTGCTCTCGTTGTGCGTTCCATCAAAGACCAGGAGCTTGAAACTCTGGACGCAGAACCATAAGGCACACTCGGAACCCGTGACCGACAATCCCTGATCCTCAGATTGGACGAGGGAGAGCATGTCGAAAACTGAGAAGTAGGCCCGATTTGTCGACTTGATGGGATGCGCTGATCCGTTCGAGGGAGCTACTTTGAAGATGTTGAACTCGGCCGCAGGATCCATGGGAACATCCAGTGTATTACCGGAGTCGACGCTGTACGTGCACATGCGTGAAGTTTCGTTGCAAGTTGACGAGACGTTGTTGACTGTAATGCACTCCCCACAGGCCGCCAGAGTTGGGAACACTGGCCAAGAACAGTTTCCGGTCTCGCAGTACACGGGGAGTCTGGGCATCTCGGTCGAGATGATGCCACTGTAGATGGCTGCCTTTGTCGAGAGCGATGGTACCAAGTCTCCAAGGTAACCTCCTCGCCTCATGTAGGCATCCTAGACCTCTGATCGTGGAGGAGGTGGTGCCGGACCATACCCACGGCTGAGAATTCGAGGACGCTGCTCAAAGAGAACCATTTGCTGACTGAAGGTCTCGAACCAGTGGGATAGGATGATGATGAGTGCACCAAGACATCCAAGGTGTTTGAGCTTCATCCGCCACAGCAACATCAAGCTGCCTCGTATGCCCCGAGACGATCCGTCAAAGACACTGAAATCCGACAGGAGCGCATCGTGATTGTAGCGTTGTTGTGAGATTTCCGATACCCAAAGCCATGCGCCTTGGCTTAGGCAAGAGCCGACGAAGCCCATGAGTGATATGCGGAAGATTGTGACCATGACAATGAGGACCGAGTCAAATTGCACGCCGACACCCAGTTCAGGCACAAGTTGGTTGTCGTAGTATCTGAGGAGGATCACCAACCCCAGTGCTGTGAGGACGCATATGATGGCGTACCAGATCTCTTGCTGCCACTAAGCTGCGTGGGTGAAATGTTTTCTGGCACGGGCCCTCCGGCCGGGACGAGGCGGCACACCGTGCTTTTCCAGCTCCCCTCCCAGGTCAATGTTCGTGAAGGTCTCGTGCACTTCATCCTTGTCTGGGTGAGAGGTAAATGCCGTGTCCCGACGTTCTTCTGGCTGTTGGGAATCAATTCGTTGACTGGCCCTGGGAGACAGATGCTCAGATGGCTCTCTGGTGCTACTGATGGGCACATGGCGGCGAGTACTGCTCTCGCTCACTCTTTCGCCTCCCGCCCAAGGATCCATTGCGCAAGACGGAGGTGGTTAGGGATAGTCGAGTAGGTAGGAAGTGTGCTTTCAAGGTGAAGCTGTGGATGAATGCTATCGAGATCCTGCGCAAACGGATTCTAGGGTGATGATAGGTCAAACGTCGTGGATAAAGATAGGTAATGAAGATAAGATGGTGGTGTGGTGGTAGTACAGGAGGAGTGGGAGAAGTCGAGGAAAAGATTTGCGTGAAGCACGCGATAAGTCGACTGGCCACGAAAGATTTTGCTCCCACGGCGGAGAAGGAAGGAGGTTGCCTCCAACTTCAATTGCATCACGACTACTGGACCTGCCGCGCCTTCCCATATCAGCTTATCTAGCATGCTGCAAACAGGCGGTTGACAAAGAGCGGCATTGATAAGGGCAGGAAGCAGCAGCAAACGAGGAAAGAACAGACCATTATAAGGACAGTGATGACTTCACATATCCACATCCACCACCTCCTCCTTCCAGAAATGTGACATTGCGAATCCTTTCTCGTCAGCTTCAGGACAGCGGTTCCTTTCACTTTCCCTGGTTATCTGGAGGATGAAGAGATTTTCAGCATCCAGCATGAGATCATTCTTGGGGTTCTCCTTCCTCAGCATCTGCGGGGTAATAGCTCACGGTACCCCCTCCTTCCCTCCTCCTGGGTTTCCAGCAACAACAGACAACATCCAATTTCCCTCGATGATCCAAGTGTCGACGATGTGGACATCTTGACGGGAAGTCAGTTCCACGGACTCAAGACATTCGGCAACCTTCCGTATGTGAAATGTTTCTCGGACGAGGAAGCCGCCTGCAAGAAGTACGACATTGCCATTCTTGGCGCTCCCTTTGACACGGTCAGTGTTTGCTTCGTTTTGGGGAAATATTCACCACAACCGTTTGAAGATTCGATCAATTTTCTTACCTGAATTACATCTCTTTGCAGGCTGTTACCGGACGACCAGGAGCCCGCTTCGGACCGACAGGAATTAGAGTCGGGAGTCAACGCCTCGCTGGATTCGATTTCTACACGGGTAAGCACATACGTTTCAGCTTTCAATCCTCTTCTCCGCGGCACTCACTGCGGTACCACCATGATGATCTTGTGAGAGGACAAAAGAAAGGACCCCAAGTTCCCCAATGCATTGTAGGTCTCACAAAAGACGGGAACACTATTAATGGAGCTACTGTACCTCCAAGTACACGATACTCAAATTATTTCATTACCAAAAACCCCCACCGAGAATGCTACTCGCAAATTGTTAAGGTCACTGCTCTCCCAGATTTCTCCAACTTTGTAAACTAACCTCGATGCGATGGTTACTTGCATAAACAGACGAAGATGCATTGCATGACTGGGCTACCATTGTGGACTGCGGCGACGCCACGTTAACCTGGCTCGACAACACCGTTGCCTTCAAGCAGCTCGACAAGGCGCACAGAGTCATATCTGGACGGCCCACGGCCAACGACACGGTTGCAGCCGTACCGAGAATATTGATGTTGGGCGGTGATCACAGCACCACGCTGTCGGCACTGCGATCAACATATCGACGATGGGGTCAGGTGTCTGTGATCCATTTCGACAGTCACATTGGTAGGTGTCTTGACGGAAGTATTTAGGCCATGGCCTTGTAGTAAAGGCTGACATCACGATAGACACATGGAATCCCGATGTTCTCGGCGGCAACATCTCCCACTATGCGTAAGTCCATTATCATCCAAACCGAGGTCTAAGGACTCACTAACACATACATCCTGTTGAACATGGACAGAGGCATCAACCACGGAACCTTCCTCCACATCGCCCACGAAGAAGTAAGGCACCCCCTCATCAAATTCCCCAAATACCCACCAAATACTAACAAAACACTCACAGGGCCTAATCCGCAACACCTCAATCCACGCCGGCCTCCGCGCCCCCATCAACAAGCGCAGCGACCGCATCAACGACAAGCGCTGCGGTTTCTCCGTCATCACAGCCCGGGACATCGACAAGCACGGAATCGACTGGATCATATCCACCATCAAGGCCCGCGTGGGTGACTCGCGGGTGTACATCAGCGTCGACGTTGACGTGTTGGATCCGGCGTTTGCTCCGGGCACGGGCACCTCTGAGCCTGGCGGCTGGTCAACCAGGGAACTGCTGACTATCATTGATGGGCTGAGAGGGTTGTCTGTTGTCGGGGCGGATGTGGTGGAGGTGAGTCCGGCTTATGATAACAGTGGGGAGACGACGGTGCTGGCGGCTGCGCAGGTTGGGTTGTCGCTTGTTAGTTTGATGGTTGCTAAGCCGGTGAGGGATTGAGGGTTTGTTGATTGTGCTGGTGGATTTAATGGCTAGTGGCCGTGTTGAATCTGGGGAGCGACTTATCGTGGCTAGTCTGTATGATGAAGGATGTATAAGAGGCAGAAAGGAAGTTGAGGGAAACAACTCGGTATCCCATCAGTTACCAGAGCAGACAGCGTCGGTTCTTGTAAACAGATCAACAATACATTAGAACACAAAAGAAACAAGAACATGACTCGATTGACCATCCCCTCTAGAAAAAGGTATGACATCTATAAACTCCCAGCCCGACCCCTTTTTCATTCATCCACCCACCCTTCGTCACCCTATGATGACACATCAATATGGCCCGCAACACAGCCCAACTATTCATTCACTCATCTGAAGTTCTCAACCTCAAAAATACCCCAACCCACTCCACCCAAGCACACCACCCAGCTCCCCTCTAACCTCCTCCCACTCCATCCCTCCTCCCTCCTGTCCATGCAACCCATTCCTCAACCCCACCAGACTCAATCCACCATTCCCCGTAACCTTGCCACTGCCCGCCGGATTCACTCCTCCGTTGGTGGTACCAACCACGTACCCAGCCCGTCCCGCAATTTCCTGGCGTTTACCTGTGCCAAGCTCCATGAACCGTTCCAGGATCTTTCCATCGACAATGTTCCTACCTATGCCGGCGTCTACCCCCGGCAATTGCATACTAGCTGATGCTGAAGGTGATGGCAGGCGGTAGCCCTTGGGGTTGAGACCGGCCGGGTGAGGGAGGGCGTTGGTCAGTTGGATTGCTAGCGAGGAGAGGCGGCGGTAGGCATTTTCTTGGAGAGGTCGGAGGGTGGCGAGGAGGCCCGTGGGGGAGGCGAGGAGGAGAATGTGCGGGGGGTTTTCGCCAACTTCTGAGTTGGAATTGGGGGAGGTGGTGGTAGGGTAGACGGCGGGGAGGAGGAGGGAGGAGGTGGGGTGGTGAGCGCCCGTGTTGAAGGTTGTGCGGTGGAGGAGGAGGTGGCCTTGGAGGGATTTAGGATCTGTGAAAGAAGGTTGTTAGTTTTTCTGGGTTGGAAAAGGAGAAGGGGAGAAGGAAAAGGGGGGGGAAGAGGTAAGGGGGGACACATACGCTCGGGATCAAATTGCAAAATGTGAATATGACCATCAGCATCGCTAGCCACGATGTACAGCTCCTTTCCATCCGGCAAGAAGTCGGCATTCAACACCTCCATCCTAGTGGAGCTCTTGCCGAAGAGCATCATCTTGTACGGCTCCTCCGTGTAGCCGGTGAACCACACGCCCTTGAAGGCGTCGGCCATCAGACAAAGACCGGTGCCGGGCAGCTCCTTGACACTCGTGACGTAGCAGTTCATATCCATAAACGCCACGGGCAAGAGCGTCCCGTCTTCTTTAAGACCGCGCACCATGCATTTCTGGCCCTGGGCGACGAGCATCAAACCCTGGGTGCCGACCTCGGAGAGGGCTGTGACCGCGCCGCGCGGGATGTCCTCCTTGGCGACCAGCTTCAGCTTCTTGCTGGTCTCGGGCTTGCCAGGCTCGGGGATGACGTCGGCAATATCGAAGACGTAGACGCGGCCTCGGGTCGGAAGATCTTCACCCTTGGTGAGAGCGGTGCCGACGGCGATGAGCTGTTTGCGCTCGTTGGTCGACTCGGAAACTTCCAGGTTGAGTGTCTCGACGCAGAGGACGGTCTCGCACGGCTCCATTTCGACCGTGTCGATCACGGTCCAAGTGATGCCGCTGAGGAGTTTCAGCATGCCGCGGTCAACCATGGGCTTGAACGTGATGTTCTCGCGCGCCCATTCCTTGTGGTAGTCGTCGTCCTTGGGCAGCTCAAACGGTTCGGCGTTGTTGCAGCCCACCACATAGGCCTGTGTAGGCGGGTGGTAGACCACCGACTGGGTGTCAACTCCGACGGGGATCTTCTTGACGGAGAGACCGAGTTCGGCGAAGCTGCTGTCTGTGGGGATTTGTGTAACCCTCGCGATGCCGTTGGTGTCAGCGTAGATGAAGCCATGCTCGCAACCTTCGGTGTGGAAGGAGCTCATGGCTTGAACACCGGATCCCTGGAGGCCAAGTACCCTGGGACTGGACTTGGCTGTTTTGAGAATGAAGCTGGGCGACGACCCAGGAAGGAAGACAGTGCTATAGCCCGAGATGTTGGTGCAGCGTCGCATAGGAAGGAAACGCTGTGCATTATGGAGCTCATCATCCTCTACCGGCTTCTCCTCCGGGGCCTTGGCGAACGTCGAGTTTGGTACTTTCTGGAAAAACAGTGATTTTGAGAACGGCTGTCCAGCAGTTGCCTTGACTCGGTAGGGTTGGTATAATGTGAGATCATCATTAGCGTGGCGAAGCTGTACATTCATCGATTAGCTGACAGTCAACATGGTAAGGTAGGTTCGTGAGGACGTACGATGAGGTATGGTGATTTGTGAGTTGTATCGCCCAAATCAGCGACTAAGATCTCAGCAACGGACTCCTTGGCTGTGCCTTTCCTGGCGGCATAGTCGGCAGAAAGTCCTGGTGGTATGTAAGAAAGCCCCTCTGCCACATAGACTGGTTTCGTCAAGTCAGGCAGACGATAGATCTAGTGAGGTGCGTCAGCGAAGTCGTTATCCCTGAGAGGAGGCCATGACGTTCTTACATATAAAACACCGCTTGTACTTAGCAGGAACATAAGGATGTTATCTTTAGTCCCTTTGCCTGCAGCCTCGTCAGCAAACACACCGGTGGTATCGGTATACAAGCATCCCGCCAACCACTTTGTGCCGGTCAACATCTGATCCTCTTTCTCGACTTCGTCAAGTTCCAAGAGCTTTGGACTCATTTCGGCAACGAATACGCTAAAGTCGTCCCGGATGAGAAGAAGGAAGGGGTCAGCAATGCTGGCAGTTCGAACCCGCGGCTCCGCTCCTGTTTCTTCGTCAAGCATGGGCACGATCTGACTCAACCCCAGGTCTAGAGAGGTTGTGTTAGTTGGGCACTTGAGGCGTCCTGAAAGCTTCGGTTCTCACGTACCTCCGTCATAGCATCGCACTTCGGACTTGAGAACTTGAAGAATTCTGCAGTCCTTCCCCATGGTCCCTGCCTCCACAGTAAAGCCAGCAGCCGGCTCAAATTCAGTTCCGGTAAGGCTCTCGAACCCGGCTGCTGTAAGGGCATAGACATCAGATGTTTCATAACCGTCAAGATCCACCTTGGCTACGATCATGAACTTGTGGTGCTGTCCAGAGGTATCGTAGTCATTGCTCATGGGGCCCTTGTCACCCACCAGGGTCTTCGGGATGGGCTTCTTTGCGCACACTGTCCAAAATCCTCTTGCCTCTGGAAATTCGAATCTTCCTATGATCTTTGGTTGTATTGCCAAGTTCATGATGGCAAGTGCGCTGGCTTTTCCTCTCCCCACGGCACACACGAGTTGGAGATCGCTGCGGACACCTTCCGAGTTGCGTTCCTCCTCGCTGTCGGGTAACGTGACGGGTTGGCCATATGTCATCTTTTGTATTGGTGCGATACTCAGCAGCCGGTCGTGGATGCGGAAGTTAAGTTCTCCGCTCTTAACGGCCTTGGCAGCGGATATGGCTTGCTCCGGGGACGTTGACTCCTCGCCATATAGGTCATCGTCGTCGTCCTCGAGATCTTCATCGTCAAGATCCAAGTCCAGATCGATATCCTGAATTCGCGACTTCCTCTTCTGAGTTTGACCTTGTCTTCTGGTCCAGCCAAGCAAGACGGAATCGCCTTCCTCGGAGCCCACAAACACGGTAGACCTCCCCACGCGAGACAACGAAGTGACGCGCGACTGTATGACACTACCTCCCGCTTCTGGGGCTAGCATCTTGATGCTCAGGCCCGACACCGTACGTCCGTCGATGCGGAATGTGATGAGCCCCAGGCGGCCGTCGTTGAGAATCAGGAGGAATTCGCCCAGTTCTGCCGCCAAGACGTCGATAGCGCAGCCTTCAAGACGAAGGTCCAAGTCGGATTGGTCGACAAGGCTAAAGGAGGTGGTTTGCTTGGTGAGAGGATTGACAGCGATTCCGTTGGATTTTCCGGACTGGTCGATATGGATGAGTTCGTTGGCTCCTACAAGCAAAGCGCCACCCACAGGTGCAGGAAGGGCGACGACACGGAACAGATCCTGAGGCAGGCCGTTAACAGCCAGGATGGTGGTGGACGCTCTTTGCTGGAGGTCTAGGGTGAAGACCATGTATGTAAAGTGGTCCCTGTGACCGAGCGAGTTGGAGGCGGTCTTGGTGGAGGACAGGACACCAATGGTGGGATCTCGATACTCATGCAAGAAGGCGAGATGCACAGGATGAAGGAGACTAGCTTCAAGTTTTGAGAGGCGAAGGACGAAAGAGGGTGAATACGGTGTGTCTTCTATAGTGCTAGCTCCATTTGCGATGGCGCCGGAAAGGTCCTTTTTGGGCCTTGGGCCGTCCAGCTCTTCGTCCCAATTATCCATGTCCATGTCCTCATCCGGCTGCTTGAAGGGCAAGATGGCCAAGTTCCTCTCGCTGAACTTGAGGGCAGCGCACCTGCTCGCTGGATCGGCGAGCAACAGAGTGGGATAGTGATGTAGAGGCGCGACCCACGGACTCCCTACGAGCTCCTCTTTTTCGTAATAGTGAATCGAGATGGTCTCGAGAGTGTTGCGATCCACATTCCACTCGACCAGACTGAGGCGAGCGTCGCGGAAGGAGAGAAGCAGGCAGTCGGCACCACCGGACGAGCTCCCGCTGGGCTTCTTAATTCGGGCGAGACCTGTGATGGTGCCGGGCAGGGTGACTTCGGCGACAAGAACCAGCTTGGCGCTATTGGCACGATCGGCTCTGGCAGCAATATTATCTCCTCCCAGGAACGAAGCCTCAAAGCCATCATCGTCGTTTACGAGCCTGCTATCGTAGCGGCCGGCTGTGGAGGCCTTGGTTGTGTTGGTGCCATTGAGGGTAGCGGGGGCATCGATCTCGGCGGAAACGACTTTTGTCTTGAAGATTTGGAGTAACGACGCCTTGGCGACAGCGAGATTAACACCTTGACCAGGAACGAGCTGGAGGGTTACTGAATGGGTGACAGCCGTGGGCGGCGTCAACTCTGTATAGCATTGCATCGTGTGGGATTCGGGAGCATGTCGATGCTAGACGAAGCTCGGAATAATAGGCAAGTCTGGCGGCAGGTGATATGCACTGCTTTCTGTTATTGTTTTGGTAAAGATTAGCGTGCCAGTTACGGAATTGTTGTGATGTGTGAAGACGAAGCTACGCTGGCATAGATTTTCCTATGCGCGAGGTGATGTTGAGGTGGACGATGGAGGAGAAATGATTCCTTCCAATCCGAGTTGAGGTTGACGACAATGCAAGTGCAAGTCAACACGACCCGACCTCCAAATGATTGTCCCAATGCGCGTCGCGACTGATTGGCTGCAGCATCCAGTGACGCTGAAGTGCCAAGCATTGAATTGAATGTGCCTCGAGTCGGAGGAAGATTGGAGCTTCTCTTTGCCAATGCCAGAGCTGTGTGACGGCCAAAGAGACACTCGCGCCAGCTGGCTGCCGTTAAAGAAAGCAAAAGCTCAGACCCTCAAAGTTCTGGACCACCCGTTTGATGGCTTGCTGGACCCCACCTGAGCTGAGTGTTGATGCTGTGTGACCCACAACGGGCGGTTCTCGTTGGAGACTTGGGGAACCCTCGACACCAATGCACGTGGAAGTCCTGAGCAAGATATTCGCCTAGTACAGCACATTATGTAGCCCAAATCCGAGACATTTTTGTACAGGGTAATGACACCCAACCTGTGACGCCACACGATCGGTTGACGTTCCGGGGGGGCAGAGTGAGACTTTCTCCCACTGCACCACAACGTTTGCCTGCTACTGGCAACCTCAACTGCACCTCCAGCTGAAGCCGAGTGCTCAGGCTGCAACAGTGCAACATTCAACTGCACCCCAACCCATCACTTGAGATCCCGCTCAGGACGACATTCAACGGGAGACTCCGAGACGCAGACCCAAACATCTGGGCAGCCCGCCGGTGCCTGGACTTGAACGTCGTCGCTTTCCATTTCCACTTTGTCACTGCAAACTGAAGACTCAACATCCACGGAACCGAGCGGGAGTGGTGCCTACCTACCCTGACATCGGACTTTGGCTGACCATTGGCGATCCTGCACCTCGCTGCTCTTTCCCCTCCAACCAAACAACGTCCTCTATTATTTACTTGCTTTTACCAACACCACCATCATGTGAAATAGCTTGAGGCGGGATACACCACCACCACCACAAACCTTGCTGGACCCTTCTTTTCCGGATCTGATTCATGACTGGGTGTCTCTCCCTTGTCTGATGCACCCCACGTCATCCGGCCCATTGATCTTCTCCACGATTCCATCCATCCGTACCACTGCGACTTTGTCACTTTTCTCATCCCCGTTTCGCTGGGCTGGCAGCTGGCTGACTGTCACAAGTCCGGATATTCCTTTTCCAACTTCTGCCGTGAGTCTTCTTCAGATCAAACAATCACCACCCAAAAACGGGTACCTAGGCGGCCCAACATCTGAAGCGGGAACCTTAACCAACTCACCCTGACCCAGTTGATAGGTTCTTTATCCTTTTTTCTCCATTGGTTCCTTGTCAGATAACGGCGAACCTTGTGGCCTACAAGGCTAGGCTTGGCCGCGGGGCAAACTATCGCTAAAAACACCCAAACAACCCAAGAGTCAAGACGAAGCTAGACGGCGCCAGAACCGGCTACGTATCGGGCATCCAGACATCCAAGATAAAACCCAATTCGATGTTCCGGTTGCCTCCTTTCTGTTCCGCCTCTAAACCTTTTTGCGATTGACACTCCAGTCTACCACTGCTACACATGACCAGACCGCCTGCCCGACGTCATTTTGTCCACTTGTTCAACCCTAAACAGTGTACCTGTTAAAGGATGATTTCCGACCCATCTGCCCTCCTGGATTAACAACGACAATCTTTGTCGTCAGTTCTACCTTTTGATTGACGATTTTCGCCGAGATGGCTTCCGGCTCAAACAGGCCGTTTAAGCTTCCCCTTGGTCCCCTTTCGCGCTCTAAAGATGGCGACCATTCCTCCGAATCCGACTATCCGGGCGGCCGTCGCGACTCCATGGCCGCCCTCTCCATCTCTTCCCATGTCAACCAGGAACAGCTCGCTAACACCCTTGACCGAATTCACAACACGGCAAGCCAGTCCGGAGTACTGACCACCTTCAACGATTTCGCTCCGCCTCCACCACCGGGTACTGTGCCTGTCACCGAGAGCAAGGGGACTACGGGCGAGTTGGTACAGCAAGGCCTGAGTGGTCTCTACAGCCGTTTCAAGGAGGTCGTCGGAGTGTCAGGGAAATCTTCTGCCCAGGAGGCCGAAAGTTCTACTAGCTTTCAGGATGCCGCGTCCAAGAATCCCAAGAGCCCGATTCCCAATAGCTCCAACAACAGTAGCACCAAGATATCGATTCCCTCCCTTCCCAAGGGAGACAGCTCGTCCATCAAGTCGCCTTTTGATGCGAAATCACCTTTTGATGCGAAATCACCTTTTGATGCGAAATCACCTTTTGATGCGAAATCACCTTTTGATGCAAAATCGCCCTTCGATGCAAAATCGCCCTTCGATGCGAAATCACCCTTCGATGCGAAATCACCCTTTGAGGCAAAGTCCCCTTTTGAAGCCAGGCACACCTTTGATGGGCCCGCCTCTCTCGAGATCCCACCCTTCATGTCTACCGGCACATCACCGGTTTCGCCGACCACCATACCGGCGGACCTCCAGTCGCCCCCGCAGACAACCAGACCACCATCACTTGCTACGCTGCAGAGCCTCAAGACCGGAAACTCGAGCACACAGACAATTCCGAGGGCGGGAAGGACGCCCCAGTCAACTGCTGCCAGCCCTACCGTTGCCCCCTTTATGCCAAAAGCGCCGTTTGAAAGGGAAAGCTCTAGGGGTCCGGCCAGACACCTCGACGAACCCTCAAGCTGGGGTTCCAGCCGGCGGAGCATCAGCAGACATGGTGATGGATTCACCCCGCCTGGCATCGCCGTGAGAACAAGTGTAGATAGCGCAACGGCCGCTTTGGCGCACAGTAGAAGGGAGAATGACGTGAGTATCGACAACGGCATCGACAGCCCCATGAGCCCGTCTAGGCCTATACCAGATTTGCGCATCTCCTCTGCCTCCTCGCGCTTGTCTGAGACCAGCCAAACTAAGCGAAGGCCTGCCATTATTGACCGTATAAGTCAGTCAAGGGGTCATAGCCACTCCAGGTCCTCGTCTCTGGAGCCCGGCAAGGCAGAGCCCAGCCCCATTAGCACATCAGCGCACAGTACGGTCTATCATGACTCGTTTTCTCATAATGTCAAACCACAGAGGTTGCAGTCAGGAGCCATGAAAATCCCAGGCACCACGACAAATGAGGGCGCCCCGGAGGTCGTCAATGCTAGGTTAGAAATGATGAGGAAGCAGGTCCTGAGCAAAGAGTTCTGGATGAAAGACGAAACCACCAAAGAATGCTTTGCCTGCGGTAGCCCATTTTCTGCCTTCCGACGAAAGCATCACTGCCGCACTTGTGGCTGCATCTTCGATTCAAAATGCACCTCTACCGTTTCAGGACAGAAGTTCGGCGTTCAGGGAACGCTTCGCGTCTGCAAGAATTGCTTGGAGGTTATAAACCGCCGCTATGAAAGCGGTTCCGATGATTCAGGGGATGAGCCCTTTTTGCCCGCCATGTTTCGTTCCAACCAGACTAAGCCGCCTCCTCTTCCAGCTAGACCTCAGGCGGACGACGAGGTTAGTATTGCCGAGCGAACAGAGCAAGCGAATGACACAAGGTCCGCCAAAACGCCGATGATGGCGATTCCAGCCACGCGGCGAGTTGGTGATAGCAATCGTCACTCTGCAGTTCTGGAAATTGACATGCCACAGCTCAGCCGCCCGGGGTCATCTCGGTCGCTGAGATCACTCGCGGCGGGAAGACCTCAATCATCTAGCCATCGCAGGCTTCATTCAAAACATACGTTCTTGACTAGATTCAAGTCCACTACAACTGATAACAGGGCACCTTTTCGCAAGCCTGCTAGCGAAGAACTTGGGAGGAAATCGAAACTCAGCGCCTTCCACGACGACAATATCATTGACCCAGAACTTGCGCCCTACATGTCGGACGAGTCAAGCGATGATGAGCAAATGAGTAGCATATTTGCAACCCTAAACAGCAACGATATGCCAGCGGCCAGCTTTGATCCTGACAAAGCAGGCACGGCTGCCTTTATGAACGCTGCAAACAGAAAACACAGGTTCCGCCACGGCGAAAAGAGCACCAGCGGACTTAGTTATACCAGCAGAGGCCACGACGACACTGGCTTACCAACTCTTCCTCTCCATACCCGGCCAACCAGGAAGAGAAACCTCAGCACTGCAAGTGTCACGGGCCACCCGCTGCGATCACCACGCCCGAGATCGGGTATCTTCAGCCTCATGCTGAACACTGGCCCCTCAGCTGACGCCTTGTCTGTATGGGATAATCCCGGAGTTGTCGAAGCATCTACGCTCAGCAGAAGGGATTCTTATTTCGAGGGCAGGTCATCAACTGGCGGTCTTAACCCCACGAGCATGAGCCACGTCAAAAAGCTTTTCCGACAACTATTGAACGATGCAGATATTCCCAACCCTTCAGCGTGGGAAAAGGCCCTCATCCCAATCCTTGACAGGTGTGCGGATGATGTCGACCCGGACATCCGCAACGGAGATGACATGGACATTCGACACTGGATCAAGCTGAAAAAGATACCCGGCGGCAAACCGGGCGATACTGCTTACGTCCATGGAGTTGTCTTCTCCAAGAACTTGGCCCTCAAGACCATGCCCCGCAAGATCGAGAATCCCAAAATCGTCATCATCACTTTCCCAATCGAGTACCAGCGGCACCAGGAGCAGCATTTTATGAGCTTGCAGCCGGTCATAGAGCAGGAAAAGGAGTATCTGAGGATGGTGGTGAACAGAATCCTAAGCCTCGAGCCTCGGGTGTTGCTCGTCGAAAAGAACGTCTCTGGCGTGGCTTTACAATATCTCTCGGAAGCTGACGTTGCGGTCGTGTATAACGTCAAGCCGTCGGTCATTGAGGCTGTGTCCAGAATTGCCAACATTCCCATCATCTCATCCATGGATATGCTAAGCTTGGGCGCCCGCGTCGGAACTTGCCAAAACTTTGATGTCAAGACCTTCGTCAACAAGGAGCTCAAAGGCAGGAAGAAGACTTACATCTTCATCTCCGGTTGCCCAAAGGAGCGCGGCTGCACTATTGCTCTTCGCGGTGGCTCGACCGAGGTCCTATCTCGCATGAAGAGGATCACCGAGTTCATGGTTTACGTGGTTTACAACCTCAAGCTCGAATCCTGCTTGATGCGCGATGAATTCGTTTATGTGCCTCCGGAGCTCGAGTCTCCTCCACGGCCAGCCACAAAGCTCCTGGGTGATGGTAGTCCGGCCCCGTTGTCAAGCAGTCCAGGCACACAATCAGGGGACAAGCCCGCTCATAGCGTGGCCGAACAGATCCCACGCAACGACCAGCTCTCTGAACCCTGTCAGGCAACTGACAAGCCTAGCGAGAACACGGTATTGTCTGGGGGGCATCCAGCCAACGACTTCGACACCAGCTCATCAATCAAGGAGGAGACTGCGGAGGAGCTGGCTCGGGCTGAGTCGGAAACAAATGAAGACCACGCCGCGGATGACTTGCCCATGCCCACGTATTACGGTGACATGGTCGCCAAATACGAGACCAGAATTCTCTCTGCATCACCCTTTGTCAAGTTCACTCAACCATATCTGCTCATGAGAGCCCGAGAGCAGGAGAGGCGTCTGGTGTACCTCAAACGTCTTCGCGACCAGGACATTGTCGAAGAGTTTGGAGAAAGCGAAAAAAGTGAGCCGCAGCCTAGGCAGTTTCAGCTTATCCAGCCCGAAATGGTTCATGAGCTTGGGCAAAAGGCTCCGCGTCACATCATGGAGGTGCTCCATGCTGTCCATGATGCGGAATACGACAAGGCCTTGTATAACTACCAGACCCAAACTCGACAATGGGAGAATTACATCCAGGGAAGTCTCGACCTGTTTGATCCGTACTCCCACCAGAGCATCGTTGTCCTGTACTCGGTTACGTGCAATGTGACCCAAGTTCCATGCACTGAGCCCAGTGTGGTGGCTTTTGAGTTCTATAGGGAGACTCCAGACGCTCTTGGTGGGATGTACCAAGACTGCACCCTGGGGCAGTACATCGAGGACGTCTGCGAAAGCGCTGACTCGATCTGTCACTCCAACGGATGCGACCGAAAGATGTTTGAGCATTACCAGACGTATGTTCACGAAAACGCTCGAATAACGGTCATGGTGGAAGACAAGCCAAAGTGGCCAGAGAACTTCCCCGAAAAACCACACGAAAGGGATGGCTGGAAAGATGGCACAGGCATCTGCATGTGGAATTACTGCAAGGTGTGCAACAAACACTTCGGACTGATGCCCATGTCAGTGAGCACCTGGAAGTACTCTTTCGGGAAGTATTTGGAACTGTCGTTCTGGAGCCGTGGCCTACGTCTTCATCCAGAGACAGGATGCCCTCATGATCATCAAAAAGACCATGTCCGGTTCTTTTACTACCTTTATCGCGACATTGCCGTCAGGATACACTACGATCCGATCGACTTGTACGAAATCATTGTCCCTAGATCAAGGATCACCTGGAAGGTAGATCATGACCTAAAGTTGAAGAATGAAGTCTTTACCAAGGCAGAAGAGCGTTGGAACCGCTTTACCAACTCGGTCAAAGCCAGGTTGAAGAGCATCAGAATCGACAGCGTCTTGCCGGAGAAAAATGGAACACTGCAAAAGTGAAGTGGATAGACTGACAAGGAAAGTACAAGAGGACCAGGCCGAGCTGATTCGGGACCTTCAGGAGGCCTACATGGGCTCAAAGTACTACGAGGTGCTCCCCATGAACAGAGTTATACGTCAAATGGCGGAGAGGGCTACCGAATGGGATGTGGCTTTCACCAAATTTGAGGCCGACTTTCTCTCGGACAAAGATGTTCGCCAGTTGACTATTATCCAGCTGAAGAAGATGTTTGAGCCAAAACCTGCAACCCCGGGTAACGAACTTGGGGAGAAACCGTCGTGTGAGACAGTTCACTCCAATGCAACCATCGGCGAACCGGAAGAGAAAGAAAAATCATCGCAGCCAACGGAAGATGAAGGCCCCAGTCCCAAGACGCATTCTCCAGTGTCTTCCGCGGCCAGGCCTATTTCTGTGGTAAAGGAAGAAGCGGTGGGTGAAGCCGGGTCTATTCTGGAACGAGTTGAGCCTCTTGACCTTGCAACTGCATCCTCGCCTACGCTCATTAGGAATGGGGCAGATCCGGTCCTGGAAGCAGCAAAGGTCACCTTCAACGAGCCAACTCCAACCGTCACAGCCGCAACCCCCCCACCTCTACCGACACCTCTCTCAAAGCTCAACGAAGCACCTCTGTTTACCGGTGGCGAACTGTCTCTGTCAGATATGATCGAACTCAAACGCCGAGAGCAACAAGCAGCCATACCCGAGGCTAGCACATCTGCCGGCGGTGAGGGTTCAATGGAAGGTTTCAGACCTATTGTTATACCGGAGCGCACGACATCCCGTAAGGCGGGTTTGACGGTGTCGCCTCCTTTAACACGGGCCATTTCACAACCGGTGGGAGCTATTCCGAAGCTACAGTCCGCCATTCCGAAGACTAAGGAGCATAAGATGCCAGAGCCGGGTGATCTTGCGCGGGCAACAGGAGAGGGCTCATCTCTCAAGGGAGATAAGAAGTTCCTTGGGATGAAGATCCGTCCTTCTGCTATCCCACGCTATCGGCATAGGAATTCGAAGGTGTTCACTCTCGCACGGCACTTTGAGGAATTGAGCCGAGAGTTTGAGAAGGAGCGAATCAAGGACAAGAGAGAGCGGCAGGCCAAGATGTCTTTCCCACGTGCATATCTGCCACGTTCTACTACGAAGGCGATTGTGGAGATCTACGAGGATGTTGACCAGGCTGTTCAGGAACCCGGTACTGTGGAAGAAGGGAGCCATTCTGGTGACAGAGACTCGAAGGAGAAGAGGCCAATGGAGGGTTCTACTCCGACAGATCAATCCCAGGGGGATCATTCCAGGTTGTCTACAGATCAGGGCCGCACTTCGCTTGGTGAAATGCCATCCCGAGAGCCTACTCCCGAAGATCTAAATCACGAAGCGGACGGAGACGAAGGACAAGACGAAAGCGAAGGAGAGTCCGACGATGAAGGTGCAGAAAGCGATGCCGACCGGTCAACATATACGTATGACGATATCCCGACCGATGTCAGGGACCTTGCTGCATCCATCGAGCCGAGTGAGGAAATACCTGAGGAGCTGCCGAAGCACCAAAGGAAGAGCCTCATGACCATGCTCACCAACTTCTGGGCTGAGCGCTCCGCGAGTGGATGGCCCACGCTTGACTACCCTTATAATTCGACGGACCACATGTTCACGGACTCGAACGTGATTGTCAGAGAAGACGAGCCAAGTTCTGTTGTAGCCTTTGCGATGAATTCCACGGATTACCACGTCCAGCTTCGAAACATTCGAAGAAACTCTAGGAGAACCCAGCAGCAACAACAAGCACAGAGGCAGCAGCAGAAAGAGCAACAGCAGCAACAGCAACAACAGCAGGAATCACCCTCCCAGGATCCCGAAGAGAGCAGCGACAGCGGCATGCTAGAGATTAAGGGCGGCGGCGCCGGTCCCGATCTCAGCGAAGCCGAACTCGAGCAAAGCATGCTTCGCCCCTTCGGCACTCACCTCAAGTTCCAATTCATGGAAGGCTCCGGCAAGTTCACCTGCAAAATCTTCTTTGCTGAGCAATTCGACGCTTTGCGGCGCAAATGTGGCGTCGGCGACCGCATCGTCGAGTCCTTATCTCGCTGTCTTAAATGGGACTCCAAAGGCGGCAAGACCAAGTCTGTCTTCCTCAAGACTTTGGACGACCGCCTAGTCATGAAATCCCTTTCCCCCATCGAGACCTCGGCCTTTTTTGGGATTTGCCCCGGTATACTTTGAGTTCATGGCCCAAGCCCTTTTCCACGATTTACCTTCAGTCATCGCCAAAATGCTCGGGTTCTTCCAAGTGATTATCAAGAACCCGCTCACCAACACCGAAGTCAAACTCGACCTCCTGCTCATGGAAAACCTGTTTTATGACCGCTCCCCAACCCGCACCTTCGATCTCAAGGGCTCCATGCGCAACCGCAAGATCCAATCCACGGGCGAGCAAAACGAAGTCCTGCTGGACGAGAACATGGTCGAGTACATCTGGGAATCCCCGCTCTTCGCACGGGAGCACTCCAAACGTTTACTTAGGGCATCCGTCTGGAACGACACCTTGTTTTTAGCGAGACAGAACGTGATGGATTACTCGCTGATGATCGCCGTCGATGAGAACAAGAAGGAGCTGGTGGTGGGCATCATCGATTGCATCCGCACGTGGACGTGGGATAAGCGATTGGAAAGCTGGATCAAGGACCGCGGGTTTGCCGGAGGAGGCAGGAACCGCCCCACGGTCACCAGTCCGAAAGAGTATAAGAGTCGGTTTAGAGAGGCTATGGCTAGGTATGTACTCACTGGTCCTGCGAGGTTTACGTGCTTGGTTGTGTTGTCGAGAGGTGGGGGGTCGGTTTTGTTGAGGGCGTGATGTTATGTTCTGTTCGCATTGGAGAGGATGGATGGGTGGCGGTTGATGACGACGACGACGATGACGATGTTGATGATTCCCTTCTTTTCTATCAACGGAACAATGGCTGACACAAGTTTTGGATACCTTCTTTTTCCTCTTTGGTTATCATTACAGATATATCCTCCAAGCACCTAATTGCTGGCATCACTTTGGTACTGGCCCATCCGGTACTCCTTCCCTAAGGGCTGTTGGGCCAGCTCCTGATTCTGCTCACGCTCCTGCTCCTGCTCCTAGGACGACTAGATTCGCGGCGGGGGATGTTGGTGGTACTACTACTTCGTCAGCGTCGGTAAGGGGGCCGTCGATGAGAGGATCGGTTAGGGGGTCGGTTAGGGGGGTGGAATAGGAATGATTGAAACACGTGGTTTGGCCTAGAGTGGGAGGTGGGAGTGGTATGTTATGGCCTGGGGAATGGAGGAGGATGAGAGTATGTCTATTATTGCGCGCTCGGCTTTTTTCTTTCGTCATTCTACAGCATCATCATTATCATTATTGTTAAGCACGGCGTTTTCGTTGTTTAATGTTCACCGTTCACTGTTCACCTCGTGAGATAGAGAATGAAAAGGGGAAATGTTGATTCTGATTTGCCGCCCATTTGTTTGATGGGAAGCAGTGATCAATTCGGTCATCTACTTGGTTTCTCTTTTCCCTAATTGACGTCCCGGTGGACATGAAGTTAGAGATGTGCTGTCGTTCATGCTTGCTTTCGTAGTCGCTAGTCTACATCTGACATTGCTGAATGAAAATGATTTTGTGTTTCTTAGGAAGGGCTTATGGTGAGGCCTTATTTACCCAGAGTTGGTGACATATTCCGGAATGTAACCCAACACCCCGGATCTTCCGACCCGTCACCCGGTACCTTCCGAACCGATCTTGTCGGCCCTCGGTAACTTCCGCTCCGGCCTCCGGCACATTAATGGGTCCGGCGCCGTGAGTGGGTCCAATGCTCGGCCTCGGCACGCAAGCTTTCAGGTCCACAGTGGACGGGAGCTAAGTCAGCCGGAGCCGAATAGCTCGGAGATCCGCTTCCCTCCGCTCGGCTTTGATACTTCGGAACTCGGATCCCACTTCTGGTAACGGAATTTCCCTCTGTGTTTCCCCAAAATTCCCTTTCGGCGGCTTTCGGCGGACTTTCTATTTTTTATACAGTATTGGGTGGATGGAAGATGTTATGGACTCTTGTGTGGAGGTTCCTGAGGTTCAGGTTGTGCCTGCAGTCTCTGACAGTCTGAGACTCTGAGCTTATCTCTAGCTTGGCATTAGCGCAGCGGCTTGGCTCGGCTCGGCACGGCAAGCTTGCAGTTTTTTGTCCCGCTTTTTTCGGCTCGGGTTGCACGAAGCTGATGGAAGCTGACGGCGGCGGGGCCGGCGGGGGAGGGGCAGATGGGGGAAGCTCGCTGGTTGTGACTTGCGGGCAACTTGAACAACAAGTGGAAGTGGAAGGAAGCTTCACGGGGTGTGTTGTGTCTTGTGATTGATCACTGATATTCCAGCGCGCTTGCGACGGCGGCGTCGTGGGCGGGCGGGCGAATTGACGATCATGTTTGGGACTTTATCTCTGGTCAATCACAGTTAATCATCGTTTGTGTTTCAGAAGTTGATCTCCCATCACTCCCGTCTCCCGAAGATGGAAAGCAATCTCATATTCGTAGGCTTCTTCTCCAGATGCCTTTCCCTCTTCAAAAGGTCACGTTCTCTGAAGACCGTTACGTTGACGTCAAGCACCATAATGTCTCCTCGCTTTCATCTTCAGTCCGGGTTCATACGGTACACTACACTACAACACCGTACCTGAAAACCCCGAAAGCCCTTAAAAGCCCTGAAAGCTTATTCTCTAAATCCCTTCTCGTGCCCCGCGCTTGTGCAAGGCACAATGAAGTGTGCCAAGAGATCTATCTCACTTGATCTCACTTGATCTCACTTGGTCTCGGATCTTGAATGTTAAAATCTTGAAATCCCACGGCAATTAAAAGCAAGATAGATCTGCGACAGCACCTCGGAGTCGGAGTGTTGCCTACACGTGTATACCGCTTTTTGCCTACCTAGCTGCCTGCTGGCCTGCTTTGACCGACGACCGACGACAGATGGACAAATGGACAGCACGTCAGATGTGGCGGTCATTGTACCATATTACCTCCAAGCACACAATGGCATAGAACCGTACCGGACAGCATCGCTCGCATCTTCTGTGAGCTGTAAAGGTAAGCTGTAACGTAGGCAGGCAGGCAGGCAGGCACGGTGGTATATTTAGAGCACAGTTCCGGCATCAATGATCTACGGTACAGCTCCCGCCGTGCCTTTGCTTATCCGTTTGAATTTACCGACATATCGATCCAAGATTCATGGCCTAAAGAGGCAGAGTGAGTGAGTGCTTCTGCACATGTGAAGGGGCACAGGATTGCAGTCCCTTGATTTCCTACAGATCAAACAATGCCCATTCTCAATCACAGCATCTCACGCAATGCTGCGTTATTCATTCCTCAATGAAATGTTGTTATCAGAGATGCGCAAACTGCAAAACGCCACTGCCGAATGATCTACAACACTACAACAACGGCGGTGGCAACCCCAAGGCCCTTGATGCAGATCTCAGAGCCTTCGTCCGGAGATCTACCAAACTACCGACCTACCGACCGACCAACAAGCAACGAAGACCAACGAACGATACGGCCAAAACACACCGTTGATTTTTTCGTCTTGGTCCCCTTTCACATGTCCTTACCGCTTCTTCTCCTTCTTCTCCTTCTTCTTCTCCTTGTTTTCGACTATTCTCAGTTCTCTATCAGTGGTCTGCTTGTGGTCCTTTCGTCCATGATCCATGATCCATCAAGGTGTCTGGGGCCCTGGGCTGTTGTCTGTTGTTAAAGGGACTTTTACCCCTCTTCGCCAAGTCCTCCAAAACAGTTTTGCCAAGCCTAAGATCTAACGCCTTCTGTCTGTCGTGCGGTGGTTGTGCGGTGGTCGTACGGTGGTCGTGCGGTGGTCGTGCGGTGGTGCGAAAAGTTTGAGACAGGCGCGACAGGCAACTGAATCTTGCACCGACTGTATGAGATTTGGGGGGCACGGGGGGAATGGTCAGCTGATGTCGTGATGTCCATGTGACCTGTTTGATGGTTCTTTCTTCGACAGCTTCTTTGGGGGTTATTGGCGTAATCTCTTCGGAAGGCGCAATGCGAAGGTCAATGGGAGGTCGGATTGTAGCCAAAATAAAGTTTCGATAGCTTATCGCAATCGGGGAAATAAAGACGCAGCCGGCGCCCGCTGGAGGCAAGGATATGCTTGCTGGCAAAACTCAATTAAGCGCCAAGACAAGGGTATGGCTTCCCTTCCTCAGCCGTCGTCAACCCTTATCGACTTTTTTTTTTTTGTGTAAGGACAGGAAAGCACTGGAAAATAGGGGACATTCTCCATTGTTTCTGTCAGAATACGGGTTAAATCCCATTCGTTGGTGAAACCCACCATCTGGCAGTTTATGTGCAATGGTGTGCTTCAACGAGAACCTTCATGGTCGAGTTGGATCAACCACGGTCCACGGACGTCATGGGTGGGGATTTCATGTGGACGACAAGCGCTGAAAAAAAACGAGAGGGAAAAAAAACACGAGACGAACAGCGAGGTGGGGGACAGCCAAGCAGTTTGGTCTGTTTCGAGAGAGAGAAACCAAACGATACAAGTTTCACTGCCTAAAACTTGCCTAAAACTTGCCTGAAACTGTTTTGTTCACACTTCAGACATCGTGTCAGCTCACACAAACACCGACGACAGTAGAACAAGGAAAGCAGAGAGAAACAATCCAGGTTCTCGTTTGAAAATTGGCAGGTATGCGGTATGCTATCAACCCCATGTTGATCGCCCCTTCCTTGTTGAAGCCGCCAGCCAGCACACATCCCAGAAAAAATCTACCATGTGCCTGACTGGCCCTTGTCCCTTCCCTTTCTTCCCTAAAACTGCCAAGGAAAAGAAAACCACACACATCCATCCATGATCCATCCCTCCCTTGTCCACCTGAAAGGACACCTACCTCCACAACTCCTTATCGCGAGAAGTGAGAAAAAATAAATCCGCGGCGCCTTTTTGAAAGCTCCATCCCGGGTGGAGCGTAACCAATCGCAAAAAATCCCGTCAGAAAGGGATGCGATAAAAACGGGAAAAAAAGAGAAAACCGAGAAGCGCCGTTTGGAAGCCTTTGTGTGGTATGGGGAATAAATCCAGTTTTTGCCATTTTCGCCCAAAAAGAGGTAGAAATTTCTATCCGATGTCGAAATAGCAGGTCGTTATCGTCCCCATGTCGTCGCCGGTGGAATTTCAATGCGACCATAACCCGAAGCAGCTGAAGGTATATGATAAAAGAAACGTATCGTGCAGCAAGGCGCCGTGCTTGCCTATTTTATCGCTTGGAAAAACATGACTGAATTGAATGACAGGAATCGATGGGCAAAGTAAAAGTGCCGACCACCGAAGAGAGCTGAGAAAACTCTTTAGTGGTTCCTGAGGAAACGGAGTCCCACGACGGTGGAGGACTCGCTGCTGACGCTGGAGGTGCGGCGCTTGAGGGCCTCGGCGGCGGGCTCGCCCTCTACTTGCTTGACGCTCTCAGTAGGAGACTCGAGGGCAACCTCATCGGCAGAAGCGTCCTTGGGCTTCTGCTCGGTGCTGGAGATGATGGGAGCCAGGGTGAGGAAGGTCGAAGGACGACGAGGGCGGAGACGCTGGCTCATGGGGCGGGTATCCTGGGGAGTGGAAGACATGGCTGGTGATTTGGAGAGTGGTTGGAGACCGTGAAAGGTGGTGCTTTTTTTATGAGGGTGAAGGAGGCCGCTGGTAGTTGCGAAAGTTGAGTGAGGGAGTGAGGTTGGTTTGAAGCGAAGTGTCTTGGGAAACCGTGATGAGAAGGGAGAAAGAAGGCAGAGGGGATTGGGGTTGAAATAGAGATGGGAAGGAGGAGCTCTGGAGAAATCAACTGGGGTTCCATGGAGACGGGACATGCCCTTATATCCTGACTCGAGCAACACTTGGCCGACCTGCTTACCAACCGCAAGGCAGGTGCAAGCCGCCAATCATTGCCTTTTCTTTTCTGTGCTCCGCACTTGAATTCACACGAACAAGACGGATGGAAAGAGCGCCAGTGTTCCTCCATTTACGCCGACTTTCTCCAACCCATGCGACGACTGCCTGCCAAGCTTTATCTGCGACGATGCTGCAAGACGACTGCAAGAGCACACACCTCTGCCCCGAGCTAAAACCTCTATGACGCATGATTGGATTAACCAAAGCGAGGTTACCCCCTCGCCGGAGCTCGATGGCGCCAGGTCAGAGAAAAAACACACGTGGGAATGTCATTGGCTTGGGACAGAGCGGGATGGAGGCGTGATGAGGGGTTCAAAGCCTTTGTTATCCGCAACAAAAGCTGAAAACGAGGGAGGGAGAGACGCTGGCAACCGGTGCGAACTGGCCAGTCTGGACTCTGGAGTCTGGGGGGAAGGGAAACGCTTGCGAAGCGGGCGAGTGAATGTCGACGTCAACAAATGCCCTGTAAGGCAGCGGTAGCTCGGCGGCTTGCGCACCTGTCCGTAGACCGGTGGAATGATGGCGGACTCGAACAAGGCCATCGCGGCCAAAATGAGAATAGACTTTGATACTCACCAGGGGTAGCCTATAAAATGTGGAGCAATGAGCGGCTCTTTGGCAGGTCTGGGCGGTCTTTCCGACACGCCGTTCTCGATTTGACCGGGCCTCGGCTGGCCTTGATTGGTCGCCGGCTAACCCGTCGAAGATATCTCGGAAGATGTTGCGACTGTCACTTGACATCCGGGATTTCGGAGGTTGTGGGGCGCGGGGAAAGCTGGAGCTCAACCACGCAAGTCTGGGGTAATGGAACCTAAAACGGGTCACCTCAACCGGGTCCAGCCGCCAAAGGGTACGATAAAAGGTCTGGAGGTCGAAAGACACTCAATTGAAACGGGCGTGCCGACCGCCAATTGCGTCACAGGTTCAACTTTGTTTAGGGCGCCTTGACCTTTGGTGAACCCTAACACGTTGTTTTGATGGCGTGCCTTGCCCTGTCTTGTGCCTCCCTTAGTCCGCGTTAGCATCACACCAGGGAGCATGTGACCAAGAAAGGGGCAGGAAAATGCTATTTCAGAGTTGGGAAACTGTCAAAGAATGAAATGTCAGCATGGAATTCCGAGGGTAGCCGTGGGTCGCTACACCGTCTCACGAAACGATAAGATTCATCCACTGAACGACGTATCTTTTTTCCTCTTTCAAACTTTTGGGGTAAGGATCCGGGAAGGAAAGTGGTGTGAGTGGATGGAAATATGCAACTTACGTGTCGATTATCCTGGCATTGCCAGAGCACCTAACGCCGGCAGCGTTGCTCCAATCATGTAAGCATGTGAATGTAAAAGTGCATGCCAATTTTCGGGTGAAAGGATCTTGTCCTAACTGTTGAGGTTCATACCATACAAGACTAGATGTTCACCTTCATAAATGTCCAAAACATAGCGTCCGCATGGCCGTTTTGGAATTGAATAAAGATTGACGGAGTCGACTTTTTGACAAATTTGAAAATCATGGGTGCGGCCCGACCCTGTTTATAGCTGATCAAGGTGGGTTTGTTGGTCCGGCAACTCTTCTGTCACGGAACTGATAGACTGTCTTTCCTGTAAAAACAGGGACAGGGACAAGTACAGATGGCAGCCTACAAGTAAGTAACGTAGCCCCCGAGGAGATGTATCATATCTCACCGTTCCGGTACGATTAGAGACAAGACACCCGCAAATTACATCACGAATGAAGGTGCGTACCCAGGTCTTCAGATGCATGCCTGTAATCGACCCGGGCCGATGCGTTCTATGAAAGCTTCCCAACGGTACTGTTGGTGTGCTCCATCAGGGGCCTAGCGTGACTCCTATCACCAACAATTCGACTGGGCTAGGATATCTTGCACCTGGCACACGCATACGAGCATGTACCCAGTTGGTGAAGCTCTACCACCATCCCAAGAAGAGTTGCGGCCACCTCTGCGGCACCTCCTCCGGTATTGGATAGTTCTGACACCCTTGCTCAAACGCCGGTTGCTGGAAAGTGATAATAATCGACGATGTGAAGAGAAATGGCCGAATACATTTGCTCTGCGAACTGTGCCCGGGTGCTATCAACTTGATTCCGATATCAAAAGGGGTAAGACGGCGTTGGGCACATCGGTATCTCCTGCATGTCGTATTTGTGATTAGAGCTGGGCAAAGGTAATATCACCACAGCTGGGTTGGTGCAGAGAAGTTGTGCCAATCGGACCATCACAGTCTACACGCGGCGTAGGGGGATGCCGTGCTAGGGAACCATATTCGGCAGGAGCATGTCGTGAACCGGAGCCTGTGACAGTCAAAGAACGATGCTACCCATCATCACCAGCCGTCCTTGAACAGTGTGGTGGGAAGCAATAATTCTCAACCACAGCCAGAGCCCAGGTACGGTCGACTGTCCGGTCAGGGGCCGGGTATAATGACTGTTGGCACCTATTCCCTCTTAGGGCACAGATAAGCGCGTGTTAGTCTCCATTAGGTAGGAGACAATATAGATTCATGACAGAAGCGGTCATGAAGGTTGTAGATGGCAGTGACGTCTGGTATAGGCTACGCAGTTGGTCAGTACACAGCAGGTGGAAGATATCCAAGCGATAGAGTTGACTTGTTGATGGTGCTTACCGGTAGCATGGTTCTGGCGGCTACTCGTTCCTGTGATTGGCAGATCGGGCGCCGTCACAGACATAGTCGCCAACACGCGGATATAAAGCGCAGTGAACGGTGGATAACCACCCAAGCTCGCTAATTCACCACCCTTTCCCAAATATTGACCAGGGCAAGAGCCGCAGTGTTGTTGGTTTTCTTCAGTTTCCCCTACGCCGGAACATGTTCAGTTACATGCTGGCCCTCGCTTCTTTGAACGCCAAGAGCCGCGAACAACCGATGCATCAACCAACAGTGTCCCTTTGAGTTCGTCGTCTATGTTGCATGCCATAGATTCCACGGGCTAGCGACGTGGTCTCCTGTCCTGGATGGTCTGTAGAACAAGATTATTTTCCTAGGATGGCCAGAAATTTGCCCGTCTTGACCCAAGAAACGATTTAATCCTCACTAACAATCGATGACTTGCGAGACGTGCTCCATGGATGGGCCGCGGAACGGTATACAACGTACGTGAGCGTTTTAGCGACGCATCAAGTGTTGAGCACTGTGCTACCGTTAGAAAATTGGTCGCCCTAACCTTGAGCCAAGATGTTTGAGAGTGTCCCAGATCATGGGTTAGTTGCGAAAGATCACCGGGGCGTCGGAAGCCAATCTATGACGTCCATCATTGTCGCTCGAGATTGGATCATTTCTCGTGCTGTCGAATAAGTGTGCGTCCTGGAAAGGTCAGTTGACTGCATATTTGTGCGAGTTTAGGGGGTTTCAGAGAAGGCACATCACATCACCATCGCCCGCAGCTCAGGGACAGTGTATTCCAAGACTCTTTCCCGCAGAGAGCAACCTGGGAGGGAGAGCAGGCAGATCCCATAGTCGCACGCACTAGACGACTTCGTGATCTTGTCCCGGGGAGGGAGCGTGTTCGGTCGTACTGTCGCCAATGAGACCATGCTTTGTGATGATCCATCCCCGATAGCATCTTGATCAGATGCATGAGAAGCAAAAGCGATGAGCAAAGGAGCTACCAAGTCCTCGCTCGAGGTACTTGGCGTGTTGAGAACAAGGGAGCAAGGTTGTCCCTCTGCCTGACCCTCCGAAACCCTCCATGATGCGCATCCACCTCATTAGCCCGGCAGTACTGTGTTCCCAAAACCGCATCCACATCGTGCTTGTCGACATCTAGCGGGCCGGTATATCAGGCCCGAGTTCATATCGGCCGGAGGCGGAGTGTTGGTGGTCAAGGCGCGGTAACCTCCAACATGGCTGTGGCGGCCGCAAAAGACGGCCAGAGGGCCATTAAGCGGGGTTTCGGTCTAGCCGGAAGAAACCAAGCCAAAAGAGAGTCGTCTTGAGGGCCGCATGAAGCTACCATCACTGTTCCTATGAGACGGGTGGTGAGAGGACGCCGGCAATTTGAGTTTGGGTGCAATTCGGACGAGAGGGCGTCTGGAGTTGGCGATTGAACGAGGCCAGACAGTGACCGCCGTTGGGCTGATTTCTGGAAGAGGTGACGAGGAGTCGCAGAAAATTGGAGTGCCCCTGTAGGCGAAACCCCCCCAGGGCAAACAGACCCCCCGCACTTGCTCCGACGGTTCGGAAGCTGCACCTACCATGACCGCTCCAACACAACTTCCACCGCTGCTTCCATCAGCGAACGCTAACAGATCCCAACCGCAAGGGGACATTTTGCACACTTACACCGGGAAGCACGAGTTCCCCGAGACACGGAATCGCCATTCCCGTTGGAGCTGATGAGAACCTCGAAGACATCAGTCACCAAAAAAACGAGGAAAAGTGGGAAAATTGCAGTGTGGACAAACCGAGTCGTAGAGCAATTTGCTAGTGTGTGGGCATATTTCAGGTACAGTGGTACAAACGTTACAGCGGGGACGGCTGCTGCAGTGCTGGTCACCGGTACGAGATTGGAATATTGAAAGAATTTGTAGACCCCTTGCGGCGATCCAGGTGAACCAGAAAGTCGAAGCATCTGATTGGCCAATTTGCAAAGCGTCGAGAGCAGACGGCAGGCACCGCGGGAAGGAACGGGGGCACTGGCCATTGCACGCCCTGTGTGAATGCAGTCAAACAAAAGACTGGAAAGCACACTGCACTCACGCTCTCTGGAGGTGCCTCTGCAGGACGTGGAGCGGGCAACCGTTCCCGGCCAGGCCGCCCGCTGTTCCTCGTCTTCATCTTCTTCTTTTTCCCACATCCCGGACCAAAGTCGACCTGGTCAACCAGCATCACCAGCATGGCGGATAGGGCAGGGCAGAGCGGGGCCATCTTCATCCACGGCTCGCCCGTTCCCAGGCCGCAGCGCCTTAGCGCGATCTGGATATTCCAAAATACTACAGCTCGTCACCTCCAGACCTGAGTGTTGGTAGCAGAGTGCTACTCGGTGCGTATGTGCCACCCACCACCGTCGTTGTTGCTACCATAACCCCCCAGGCCCTCCAGGCCCTCCAGACCCTCCATTCCCCAGGGCAAATCCAGGCGAGGGCTAAGCTAATATCTCTGACCCTGGAGAGAAATCAGATCATCACTGCGTGCGGCACGTCGACCGAACCAACAAGTTTCCAGAAAACAGCCATTTTGCATCTCTTCGACAACTCCTTGGCCTCTCCAAGACATCGAGGGCCTGTCCCGAACCCGCCCTGAGCCTGCTCAGAGTCAGAGCCTTCGTTCGGTTCAGGGCCTGTCCGCTCAAAACGATGTCCGGCCCCAAGTCACGCGAGCCACGGTTCATGCGACAAGGTCACTGTGCAGGACGACACTACTCGACTAGGCTAGGTTCCAAAGTGGAAAATGTTCATGGAGATGGAGATATCGAGACTCCAATCTTGGCCAATTTCGGCCGCTTAGAGCCCTCTTTCGGCGAAGCAGTCTTTGCTGGATTACCTATTTCGGCAATGGCGACAATCAATTCAACCCAATGGAAATCCCCAGGACTGGTATTTGTCTGCATCGCGGCGTGGAGTCATTCAGCGAATAGCATCTGTGTACCCCCCTTGTGAACCCATCTCCAATTACGTACCTTGCAACCCATGACAGGGACCAAAGGAATAGCCCGCACCTCAACCACAGTGGTTTCTCTCCCTCATCCCACCGAGTCCACCTTGCCAAAAGCCAGATGATAATCTTCATGGCCGTTCGGTTCCTAATGCTGAGGTGAGAACCTAAATGGACTCGGAATCTGAACAAATCGGATCTGTCTCGGTGTGCATGGATCGCAAATCGTTCCTGACGATTGCCCGTATCTCAGTGGCTGCACTAACAAATTCAAGCAACCTAACCCTCCGTTTACAATACCCACGGCAAGTCCAGCAAATGGAAAGAAACCAGACTCCTCTCAATCAATCCATATTTCGGCTTCTCTTCTCCACAGACTTTGTGGCAAGGCAGTTGATGTTGGCGGCTCATGGTCTGTTTGACACCAAGAGATGTCGATCCAGATTTGCTGGGTCGGCCGCTTGTATGCGACCTCACTTCTTCAGCCTCGATTTCTGCGCCTCACCTTTGCAAAGGCCCAACACATCAGGGTCATGAATGTTTTTGTAAGTTACCACGTTGTTTTCCGGCGCGACTGAATTACTAGCCTTTTGAGGCTGGTTTGGTCGCTTGAGAAAGGACCGCCCTCCCCCAGATGAAATCTAGCTGCATGTCTATGTGTACTGCATGTCACATCAACAACACCAGATTGTCACTGTGCCGGGACAGGTACCAGACAGGAGCGACAACCCTACGTACTAACGACTGAATATCTCTTTTGCACCCACCCCAGCTCCACCGGGCCCGGCTCAAGCTTGGCCATCTGGAGACTGTCCACTTCACTAAGTCCATCAAGGCTAGCCTCTATTGTGTACTCCAACATGGCCCAGGATAGCCTAGTCATCGTTTTGCACACCCCCCTCTCTTTTGAACGAGCAAGGATCGTACGTACCTGGAGCGACCGGAACTCGTAGGCTTTGTGTGACGGAAGCCAATGTCCCTGCAAGTGAACCGGCCTTCCTTGCTCGTCAGGGGCACTCCCTAGCAATCTGCGTTGCTAGTTTAGGGCTTTCTCTTTACACTTGCTGCCTCTGCCTTACCTGGAGGTTACAGGAGGTTGCCCAGAGTTGGCCGTACCTTACCTCTTCTTCGTCTCTGTTCATCCCATGTCTCTCAAAAGGTGCGTCGTCCCCTGGTTCGAGCTCTCTCAGACGTACCATTTACATGGAAAGCAAGCATACTGGCCCTCTATACGAATCTGTCTCCAGTTCTGCCCCGGCGCGCTACTGTACTCTAGACAAAACTTGATATCGACTCTTTCTGTTCCCTCGCTCACCATACGCGGCAGCCAATTCACCTTGTTGGACGGTGCTTTTTAGGCTTTGAGGTCTCAACTTAGCAGACCAAGAAAACAATTGCATGTCACTACACTACAGGACCTGATCGATCCACCCATTTCTTGACCAGCTCTTCCCCACGAAGGGATCATACCTGGTGTCCTGGTACGTATGAGGCACCGCAAACTTGGATGCTACACACCGGCCCAACTGATGCTTTGGCTAATCTACTAAGGTCTTGACATCCCTTCCCACCGGCAGCCATCACAGAAAGGCACACCTCTCCCGCACTGTCGTGTCGTCCTTCCTTATCGAGGGTTATATGCAGCCTTGACACTGTTCCCCTGGTATCCTACCTGCTTGCTCTTCCCGGTACAGAAAGCACTAGACGTCTTCCCGTGGCGTCTTGATAGGCCCGGCTGTTCTGACCACCCCTAACCCCTTGCCGCATGCCTTCCCTACACTGACCCACCTTGCTTCCATCGTTGTCGAAGGTATCGAGCGGTGTTGGTACTTTCATCTACGAGCACGTCGTGGGGCCCCTATCTTGTCCTTGCTTGCATCGAGAATACCCTCCACATCCACCCTGGGACTATCAACCAACAGCCTCTTTCCATCCTTGCCAGGTTCACCACTACACCAGAGGTGCCTACTACCAACAACATTATAGAGAACGCTTGGCTGATACCAGTAGTTTGGTTACAACCGTTCACTGAAACAGGAATTGGACCCGGGCATACTACCAAGCAATCTACGCCTCCCACACACTCTACGGCATTTTGCCTTGTCAAACCGTGGATCGTGACAAAGTATATAAGCTCTTGTCCACACCATCTTTGCTTCACTCTACTCCCATCATCACATCAGCCTCGCTACCTCTTCTCTACACCTACACAACAGCCTCCATCTACGAGCCAAAACACTCTGACGAACAGTCATTACCTCAATCTCACCATACATCAACTTTTTGACAACCTCCAACCGCCAACATGTGCACGATTTACATTACCACCTTCAATGGTTGCAAGCACGTTAAGAAGGACTTGGTCGATTGTGCGGCCAAGAAGGGATCTGGAACCGCCACTTGCCCCGACGGAGCTCCCAAGGAACAGAAACACACTGCAGAAGGCGATTGCGGAGAACACTGATACCACGGAGTCACAAATGAGCAAGAGTTCCTCTCGTACGTTGTTCTCTGATCTATTGCGACGGAAAATTTTCTAACCAGAGTCTTACATTTCAACAGCATACCCGAGTCAAAGACCAAGGGAACGACAACTTTTTGAGAACTCCCAAGCTACGCAACACTTCCACATTTTCGCCTTTGCGCAATTGTCATCGACCTCCTGCCGCACGCATGCACATCCGATCGCCGACTTCAAAACATCGAGGCATATTGGGCGGTGATGGAGAAGGAAAGGCATTGGTGAAAGATGACTCCTTGGTGGAAGAGGCAGGCGTTGGACGGGAGTCAGGCCTTGGCTCCTTTCTCGGCTGGTCCAAGAATTGGGCTTTGATGGCACTGACTCCTTGTGTATAAAGGAAAATGGGCGGCTTTTTGGTTTCCAATGTTTTTCTTTGCTGTTTCTTTACTATTTCTTTTTGCACATATTTTTTGTATCTGGCCAGATTCATCTTTTTCTCCTTCTTGCTTCGCAATTCACCTGTCTAATTGTCCCAAATCCACCTTGATCAGTTTTTGTACATCTTCCCTTCTACATATCTTTGTTTTGCAAGATAGCATAAAACGCTGAGGGTATGGTAGCGATACCGGTTCCTCTTTTTTCTTGCCGCGACTACGAGTCTAGCTTTTTGCAAGTCTTATATTCCCTCTTTGAACATCCAACAGAACCAACAGTTAAAGTGCACAGATTCTTAGCGGCTCGGACCGCATGATCCGACCAGAAAGCAAAGTATTGCCGTCAGACGCCATTCCCGCACCGTTTGCTGCTGTGCCGTCCTCAACGCCGCAAACAAATATCCACAGTAGCCACTACTGACATACACCTATCCTACAACCTGCTTTTCTCGCCCGATGTAAGCGTATTTCTAGGCATCGCGCCGACCCACAGCTCGTGAACGCAAAAAGCTTACATGGTTGGAATTTCACAACAGCAAACATAATCCAAATTAGTCCGAAGAGTTGAGGTTCTGTAACCAAAAAAAGCCTTACGGTCCTACCATTTTTGGCTGCAGGGTCCGTCCGGTCTGCTGCGGCCGGCCTCAGTTCGTGTAAGTCGCCTGGTCTGGCCTGGCCCGACCCGGCCAGGCAGAGTTCCATGCGGGTTAGGGTTACAAGCTTACCTCCCTCCTCCCCCTGCTTGTCGTCAACCACCTCTGCCCAATTGTTGTTGACAATTGCTTGCATAACCCCGTGCATGGGAAGTAAACAAGGCCATGCAATATCTACCGAACTCATATTGAGGCTATCCGTCTCTTTGTGGTACAACAGTCGCGCTCCCACATTTCACGGATTTTATGAAAACTCTCCGCTTGTCATAAAATTCTCCGTGACAAGCTCAAGCCAACCTTTGCCGTATGTTGTACGTGTACATGTTTGTCCATGTGTCGCTTGTCCCACTCCAACCACATGCTGAATCACCTCACCTCTGGCAAAGAGAACTCGGAAGCAAGCGAGCGGTTTGTGAGACTTTGGCAAAAGCTCGTGTTGACAAGTGACAATCATGGGGGACCTGGCGTGCGTGCCATGTTGTTTTTTGGCCTGCTGCTGTGTTCGATGTTGTGTGGTTTCAACGCCGGAATAGTGCAGTTAAAAAAAATCTCCCGTGCTGTAGTGTATGTGGGAGCGAGTGTTTGCCTCGATGCGACCTTACCTATTCTCATCATGTTCCATGAAAGCCGCCTTCAAACCTCATTCATCTCGTTGGGGTTTCGAGGAGGCTCTTCACACCACGGGACTAGGATGTATCATTATCCTGCTACTTTCCACAGCCCACCACCCACTTTTTGCATCAGTAGTCATCTTTGATCAGGGCCAAAAACCAACAACAATCACCGCCCTAGCCGACTTTGCCAACTCCCTGCATCAT